TGGTGTAGATGATGATGATGGTGATGATGTTGTTGTTGTTGATGATAATGACGATGATGTTGATGATGATGAATATTAATGTTGGATTTTTGTTAATTTTTTTAATTGGCACACATATTTTGTTGTCGTCAGCTGTTATATTTCTCTCTGATTGCTATATTGCTACTGCACGATTTAGTTTTTTCATTCATTCATTACTTCATTCACTCATTTATTATTATTATTATTATTATTATTGTTGTTATTATTATGGACTATTTATATAGCGCTTGTTGAATAATAGTGTGTTATTGTTATTGCTGTTGTTGTTTTGAACAATCGTCTTTCCAATGCATTGATCCGGTGACTTTTGCTTTCAAATTACTTCTTGTTATTATTATTATTCTTATTTGTTTATTATTACTATTATTATTATTATTTTTAATTAATTGTTAATCCGTTACTCGTCTATTAATGAGTGAGTCGTTCATTCGTCATTCATTCATTCATTCACTTATCAATGATTCATTCAATCGTTCATGCTGTTCGTTCATTCATTCGTTCGTTCATTCATTCATTCATTCATTCGTTCGTTCATTCAGTTATTCATTCAATCATTCATTTAATCATTTTTACCCATCTAACTAATTTTCATCCCAACGCATTTTTTTGGTCAATATTTGAGAATTTGATTGATTGGCTGGTTATATAACTCAGTCATTAATCCACTCATCGGTTGATTGATTGTTTAATTCCGTCATTCACTCTTTGATTCATTCACCGCCGATTCATCCATTGATTCACTTGTTCATTCATTCAGACAATGATTCAATCGTCCGTTAATTAATTAATTAATTAGTTAATTAATTAATTAACGGTCTTTATATTCTTGATTTAGGAAATGTGTGTAAATATTTTTCAGATTAATATTAATATTTGATGTTTGGTTCAGTTGTTATAAGGTCTTTGTTGGTGTCGAAAGTCATCACACATCATAATTATCATTACCGTTACATTAATGTAATGTTAATGTAATGTTAATTTTATGTTAATGTAATTTTATGTTAATTTAATGCCTGGTTAGTGTTTTTTAATGATATGTTACGTTATTAATGTTAATGATACACTAGTGTCATGCTAGCGTTTGAGTTAAGTTAATGTTGGGCCTTGTTGGCGTTTTGTAAACAATTCAATTTTTTTATCATGAGCTTTTTCTGTTGTGTATTGAAGTTTATGTTATGTTTGTTGATTGATTGATCGGTTGGTTGGTTGGTTGGTTGGTTGATCGATTGATTAATGGTTGAATGAATGAATGGTTGATTGATTGATTGATTGATTGATTGATTGATTGATTGATTGATTGATTGATTGATTGATTGATTGATTGGTTGATTGATTGGTTGAATGGTTGTATAGGTAAAAAAGAATAATTGAATAAATAAATGAACGAGCGATTGATTAAAAAAATAGATAATTAAATGACTGATTTTTTTGTTGATTGATTGATTGATTTTTGGTGATGCAATAAATGATTGACAGTTTGATTGGCTGAATGATTGAACGTACGTTGCTGACCAGGTGTCATTATATTATTTAGGTGACTTTTTTGAAGTTTAATTTCGTCGTTGATGAATTTAGCTTGTTATGTCGGTGTCTTCTTTTAGATTTTTTATTAACACCCCATCAGATCGTGTCTGAATGATTGTTTAGCTGATTGACTGATTGATTAATTGATTGATTGGCTGATTTATTGGCTGATTTATTGATTGGTTGGTTGATTGATTGATTGATTGGCTGATTCATTGGCTGATTGGTTGGCTTATTGGTTGGCTGATTGGTTGATCGATCGATTGGTTGATAGATTAGTTGATTGATTGATCTTTTTTAGGACATATTTTCTATAATTGATTTAAACAATTTAATGTACTTTGGAAATAAATATGTTTGATCTACGCCAGCCTGTCGAGCACTGCTAACTCCACACTCTACTTTTCTTGTACATATGTTGTTAAAATATCTTGGACAGGTTTCATTGCATTTTATAGTGTTTTTATAGCTTTCGCAATTTACTAACTAATTAATTATTCAATTAAACAATTAATTAAGCAATTAATTAATTAAATAATTAACAGTTAATTTTATATTGCCCCAATTTTATCAATTAATTAAGCAATTAATTAGTTAATACAGTTAATCTTACATTACCCCAATTTTATCAATTAATTAAACAATTAATTGAGCAATTAATTAGTTAATACAGTTAATGTTACATTACCCCAATGAATTTTTTTATCGTCCAGTTGATTTAAACGTTTGAGAAATACTTCTGCTAACATTGGCTATCATCATCGATGTCCATTTATTAATGCATAATTTGGATTGACCTTAACTTTTGACAAAATTTATTCGATTGTATTGTTTGATTTATTTCATAAAAAAAGAGAATAAAATATTTCGAATGAGGCATCGAATACAATGAACGACATGGTCTAGTTTGTTTGTCTGTTTGTTTGTGTGTGTGTGTGTTTCTTTGTTTTCAAGATTTTGCCAAAAGTTTCTATAAATGCTGGAGTTTTTAAATTAATTTTATTTTTATAATTGTATCAAAACGTTCCGATTGGTTCTAGGACCATTTAGGTGTTTAAATGTCGAAACTTCGTGCATATAGACCCACATGATTGTTAGTATCGAATTATTATTGTATTATATTATGAACTAATAAGTTATATTATGATTTAATATTATATTATGTTGAACGATGTGGTTTATTGAAGAAGTCTTCAGTGAAAGAGTATGAGGTATGCGATGTACAATTAACCGGAGGTAGATCGCAGAAGTACTGGAAAGAGGGTACAGAAGTTCGCGTTGCAGTTGCAACGATATATTGTAAGCCAACATGAGGTTAAGCTCTAAAACTAGATAGATGTGTGAATTGTACATGGTATGATGAATCTATAATAAATGTATGGTGAATTGAATGTTTGGTGAATGAATGGTGAATGTATGATGAACGTTTTGGAATGCAATCATGAAGAAAAGGGTAATATATGATGAACGTATGGTGACATAATGTATGATGAATGTATTGAACGTATAATGAATGTATGGT